GATTAATAAAACTACTGATAGTGCTAATGCTACCGCCACCATTCCCTCTAATACAGATAACGACGATAAAGTTGATGACGATAAAAGCTACTGATGATAAATAATAACTTGACAAGAGAAAGAGAGTGTGTATGAGAAGATTGTAAATGAGAGCGAAAAAACGAGAGAGGATAATATTTAAGACTTCAATTTAATTTAATTTGGACAATAAATAAAAAAAATGTTTTGTTTTTTATTATAAAAATGTATATTTGCAAAAAAAAATTTTTTTAATAAAAATATATAGTTATTATTATTATTAACTTTTTTTTCGTCAATATAATTAAAAATAAATATTAAGCGTAGTTCTTGATCTTCTAATATTAATATTAATATTGAATACTACCACCATTCCTTACTGGGGTGTTACAAATTATAATAAACACATAAAAAATCATATGTGCGGATTTTTCGCCGATCAATATATGTAAATTTTTTCAATATGAAAGTTCAAACTCTGTCTCCTCTAGATTTGTAAAATAAACCTTTGTTTAAATTTGATATATGAACATTACATAACACATACTTCAAAACAATGGTTTTATTTTTTTAATTTTTTGTTTTAAAAAAATAATATGCTGAAAAAAAATTTTTAAACAAGATTAATGAAAAAATTTTATAAATTTTATAAAAATCTACAACCATTAAGTGATTCAGGCTTTCGTTTGATATTATTTTTATAACTGTAAGTGTAATATTGGTGGACGAGATAGATTTTGAAATTTTGTAGAGATTTATTAATACAATGGATTTATGGTGATCATCATGTTTTACACATTATATCATAAAACTAAAAAAAAAGAAGTGTAAGCAAATTAGATTTAAATAATTATTTTAACTTGTATAATGTATAGATAGATAAAGTTGAAATCATGTATTTATCCACAAAAGAAAACCTTGCAACTGTTAGAAAAGAGCAGAGGGAACAAATGGTAAATTAAATATTTTATAATTATCAAATTGCACAATGAATATAATAATAACAAATACTTATTATGTATGCTTTTTTATCTGTTACTCAAGTGTGAGAGCAGCAAAGAAAATTTTGGAGAAGAAGCAGCAAAAGCAATTTTAGGAGAATATTTATTATAATTATTACAATATTATTATTATTATTATTACAGTGAACCCTCCCTAAATGAACCCTCTCTAAATGCACGCACTATGTATACCCTCCATAAATGTACACTCACAAGAAATAGCACTATGTTCCTGTGGGGGTGCACTTACAGAGGGTTCACTGTATTATTTATTTTTATTATTAAAAATGAGCTACATTTCACCTAATAAAAAATCTTTACATATAATTTTTTATATGTGTGCTCAACTATGTTTGTGTTTATACTGATGTGTAACACCTCAATCCTATATGGGTCAATTGATTGTATTAAAAATCTATTTGATAATCAACTCACTGAACAAGCCAACATTCCAAAATAATTCATGTTACCAGCAATTTAAACCTTGGAAAGTATAATTATAGTCAAATCTCATCATAATGAATTTACTAAAAGTTCATTATAACATGTATTTAATTATTGTTACACTTATGTTTTAACAGGGTCTAAATTATATATTAGCAAATTTGATTGCTCAGTAATCATATAAATGACACATGTGTGCATTTAAAGAGGGTAGTTTATATAGAAGGTGTTGATTATTTCTAGGAATGAAGCAACTTGGTTCAGCTTGGCCTCGGTCCAGTGGAACTGAGTTTGAACTGTTTTTCATTTGACTGCCCCATCTCCAAGTCCTGACCTTGGAGACTGAATGATAGGGTGCACTTACAAGGGTGTGTGCATTTAGATGGGGTTGGCTGTACATATTTTAAGAGCAAAATGAATAATGAATGAATGAATATAGATGTTATCCAGATATCAACCTTTAATATTACTATTACTATTACAGATATTCATGGATAAATGTCAAATATCTACAATAATACAGTCAGGGAATATTCCAAATATGGAAATGAATTCCAGAAAAATCCCATCGATCAATTCATATATTTACAAACGAATTAAAAATAAATTTTCTGTATTACTAAACGCTGCATATTTTATCGAACCTT